ATATAAATATTCCATCTATCTAGTGTTTTAAATGTCATCAAAGATAATCTTGCTATAAATCATGCATGCTGTCTAATGAAAATGTATTCATTTTCCAAGGACTTCCTCTGCAAAATTCCATCTAGACATGAATGAACTAAATTTAGTACCATTTTGCACTGCTTGGTATCTTACTCAAGGATGACCAAAATGAGTAGTTTACTTTGATATGTTTTGCAGTGTGTAAACTGGAACCGAATGACCATGCAAATGAAATTTCAACACTGTACGTCACATGCCAGGCAAGTCATGACTTGCATATCACATTTTAGCCTGTGGTTTAATTTCTTAGTTACATTATAGGATAGTATTCACGTGTTTTATTTTTAAAAGTAATCATTTGATATTTTAAATGGATTTTTTTATCATGCTACCTTTTTAATAAGTACTATTGGCATGCATGATCAAAAAAGTGTAACTTATTTGATTTAGATTTCTATTTCTTATCTAATTGATATGCAAATATGAATGCTATGTTCCCTTGGGCAATTTGATTAATTTCTTTTAGCCTCAGCTCCTTCTTTGAAATGGGCATAGTAGTAATACTTAACTTTCAGCATTATGAAGATAAAAGTTACTTCATTAAGGTGAAAACACTTTGAAAACTATTAATTATTTATTATTATTTTAATTTTTATTATTATACACAATAAAGTAGTGGTTTTAGTCACACACTACCATAGATTTCCCATTACAGTCTATTTGTCCAAAAAAATTTCCAGGTTGACAAAAGATTTGTTTGAATAGGTGTAAATTGGTATAATCCTGTGGACACTTCTTTAGTGTCCAGCATTGACTATTCCCAGCGAACAAACCATGGCTCACAGCTTTTGTTGTTTTTAGCTCTCCTGCATTTTGTCTTTTGGAATCATTCACTGTGACCCACCATCAATTCTACTCTAGCATTTCAGAGCTCCTGTTTCGGTTCTTGAACCAATTCACTATATAACTTTGGGCAACCCTCTCTTTAGGCATCAATTCTGTCATATGTAAATTGAACAATTTCTAAGGTCTTTTCTAGCTCTCATATTCTATGACACTGACCTATTTCAATCTCTGCATGTACATCTTTGCTAATCACCTGCTCTTCATTCACCTTCTCATTCACACCAATTGTACCCTCCCTCACTAAAATACAGCCAGACAACCTTTTGCAAAAACCAATGCTGAATCCAGATAAGGATGTATTAAAAAATATAAATATTAAAACACATTCCACTCTTCCATTAGGGCTTGGTGAAGAATTGTTGTAACCAGAGTGGTGAATTCCTTGTGTCAAACTGCTCTTAGTTTCAATCCAAGCTTGGCCACTGAGATACCTCTGTTGTCTCATTTCCTCAGAGTTCTCTTCTGTAAATTGGGCACAATAATGTCTCTCATACTGACCATGTCAGAATAGTGCCTGGCACAAATCTGGTGCTCAGTAAATACTATCATCTCATATCCTCCTCATTCTGACACCCAGACATCAAAAGCTCTGATAATTTCTTATTTTGGATTTTGACACATAAAAAGAACGTAAGTTTGTAACTTGAGGTCCTTTTTATTCACTTGTCTAGTTTAATCTCTCACAGAGTTGACAGGTGGTGATTGGATGATCTTTAAGAAACATAGAATGTTTGCGTAAATAGTAAGGATTTTAGCCACATTAAGACATCCAGGCTGATTTGATATTTATTTTCCTTTTTGAATACTCAAATTGTTTAATGACTAAAATAGATTACTTGGAAAGCAGGCCTTTATAAATATATTTTTTTACTTCATAAATAATAGTTTTTATCTTAAGAAAGAAAATGCAGTATCCCTCCCAAGGGTTTGTAAACTAGGGTCTATGAATGAGCTCCAGGGAGGCCCTAAATTCCCTGAAATTATATGCAAAATTGTAAGTATTGATTTTTTTCTAGTGAGAGTATCTCTAGTTTTCAACAGATTTCAAAAAGGTCATTGACTTCCTAACAATTATGTATCATGGTTTAAAGTGAAACAATTTTTTTTGTTTTGGGGATAGACTGAGTTCTAATTTAGTTGCTATCAATGTGAAATTATTACCTTATTTTAAGAAAGTAAAGTTCTATACAGAAGTGCAGCAATCAACTTGAATACAAAAAGAACTGTAGAGTTTGGAAAGGTTTTTTTATTGATTTTTTTTTTCGACTAACATAGATTTGTGGGAAGTATGAGAAGTATTACAAAATATTAAGAATATTAAAACTGATACACTGCAATTAAATGATATTTTTTGAAAATCTCAGGGATTAGTGTTATGTATTACAAGTGAATATTCTTGGGGTACTGAAAATGAAAATGATGTACCCATAGACAGACTGGCAGAGTACCTTTGCCATTTCCAAGGACCTAAGCAAAACAGAACAAAAACTGCCTAGGTCCCATCAAAAAGAGATTGGTCCTGATGCTTTCTTTCGTGGTCATATGAGTTTCAAGAGAGGGCTATCACAGGATGAGGTTGGTGAAGTGATCCTGGGGCTCCATGGTAAGGGTGAGTATAAAGATTAGGGAGTCCTGTGACTGGGTCCTTAGAAACTGAGGATGTTCCTTTCTCATAGTCCCCACAGGACCTATAGAGGTCAAGGTCCCAGTTATTTGTACTCTAGAGCCTAAGGTACGTTAATGGGCTGCTGACCACTTTTGGTATAGGTATATTCATGGCCCTGGAAGAAGTAGGTTCCACTGTGTACAACTGTAAGTGTATCACCATAGTTGGCTTCTTCCCCCACAGGGGCCACCCCTTATAGCTCCAGCATTGTGAATGTTAAATATGTCAGTATTAAAATTAGAAAAAGTACTGCACTTTGTTTGTATGAGTGGAAATTGCTGTAATTTCATTGATCGTCAAAAATTACACTCATATTTACTATATATTATTTATTTAGGAACCATGACACTAGATAGAATTTGAATCACCTCCTGCATTAGACTTAGTCACTGCTTTATAGCTAACTTACTAAACTGATAAGCAGTAGAGAAGAGAGTTCACTTCAAAAACATTTATGTACAGTGTTGCACTTAAGAATTTCTAGGCACTTTATGATTATTTTTCAATTCAATATGAAAATTGGTACCCCCAAAGCTCAGATAAATGTGCTGGTATCATTAAGTGCTAGAAAAAAAGATGCAGCTTCCCTGTGTTCCTGTGGCTTCAGTAGAACTTGTAACTCTAGGACCATATACCCTTGCCAACTGCAATGCATTTGGAAATTGATGCTATGAAAACATATAAATAGTTTTCAGGTCAAGATAAAGAGAAATGAAACAGATGTAACTAGTCGTTGCTTTTGTATGCTTAAAGCAACTTGACCAGAACCAATTTAACAGGAATTTCACTCGTGAGAACTAGAGTAGCAGATCTAAAATTCCTAAACCAAACTTTTGTGCTAAACCATTAGACTTTCATAATAAAGTGAAAATCAGAAATCCACAATTAGTCATTATAATATAAAACTGTTGTATCTTTCAAAAAAGGTGAAAACACTTTAATATAATTTATATTGTTTCTACACATTAGATGTAAGAAATAATTTCACTTAGTCATAAGTACAATGAATTTGATTAAGAAAATGGTAATTTACAAAATAGAAGTAAATATATGCAGACATATAATCATTATCAAATTATAAAATAAAATTAACAATTCTTGTTAAGATATCAGTTTGTTATTCTGCATTTCAGATAATAGAATTAAATCATTTTGGTATGCTTAATAATATTTATAAGTATTAAAACAATGGAACGTTGAGATTTGAATACAATGACAGTAAACCATTGAAATTTCACATTCACATTATACAGTCATCATGAATCTATAAGTGAATGTTAATAATGTAAAAAAATATAAAATGATTGTAATATAACCATCTAACCATTAGCATATGGAGTTTTAAGACCACTATTTAATCTGCTAATTTGCCCCGAAATATAAGCAGTTGCTTTTCTGTCATACATGACATGTCTTTGTGCCTTAATACTTAATTTGAAATGTTCTGACTGTAAAAATATACCAAAGTAAATAAAAAAGGAGACGCTTATTTACAAAAACAATATTGTATACATATTATATAAATGCAATTGTCTCAAAGTCTTTTTATACAATATTGATAGAATCAGTCATTTCCATTATTTTATCATAAAAACTGCAATGTTGCAAAAGCAGGCTGCAATTTTGAAATTTTGATAAAAATGAATACTTTTTGGCTGCCTTTTAAGGTAATGCAGTTTCTCCAAGTATGCTACAGAATTAAATCCTGACCTCTAGAAAAATGATTCTTCTTTCATTAAAGAAAATCCATTCCCCATTTGGAAAATGCACCTGAAGAAAGGAGAAACATTATTTTATTGGATGTTTTTATTTGATAAACCTGATGACATCAGCCATTCAGCCTATTTGTATTAGCACCATTGGTGTGGATTGTTAATGTACTGTATCAATCACAATAGGAATGGAAACTTGCATATGGTGTACCATTCCTATTTTTGTGGAATTTCATCTTACCAAGTATGCTATTATACAATATAAATTCAAGTGTATAAGGATAATCAAAATGATGGTATATAACAATCCTGCATTTTACCAATACTATATATAGATTTCTGTAAATATTAAATGAGACTATAGACTTTAAAGCATACTCCTTTAATTCACCAGAATACAAGGAGACTTGCTTTCATTTACCTGCATATGTTGTAATATATATGAACATAAATGTAATTTGATCTCCTAGTTCAAAAACTCTGGAAATCATAAACCTTTTTATTGTATGATTTATTTTGATGGTTAAATGCCAACCGTTGCATATATTCTCTCTTTTAGTTCATATACTGTAGCTTGTGCTTAAGTGACTGTAGCATACTCTAGGCTTATAGCCTGTGGTACATAATTTCACAGTTTCAAAATTGTGAGGGGAAGGCCTTCCATGTTTTAGGAAGTTATGAACCAAATGTAAATCTCATGAGCACCCACAGCGATCTACTACCATGGCTGGAATTTTCCCATATATTATTTGTTCTTTGCCATTAAAATATAGCATATTAATTGGAGACATCTTTGTGGGAGTACAGCAGGGGCCTGCTGAACCTCTGGGGTTTGCTTGGTGTACAAGATGAGTGTGAGGATATTTTTGTAAAAATACAAATTCACACTCTCCAGAGCAGTAATTGGCCTTATATCTTTTGGGTGCAATAATCCAATCCCATCCAAAAGCTTCAAAATCCACAGTTAGAGGGTAACGACAGCATCGAGATTCTGTGGAGTGCTCATCACAGTCAAGTCCAAAATCTCTTCTGGATCGTTTTGGTGTGTCTGTTACCTTAACTTCTAAAAATGGATTCTGTATGAAAAGGAAAGAACAATGAGTAATATTAATACATCCCGAAACACTTTCCTACCTCAAGATGTCATTGTTGAAGAAAGAAACTAATCATTTTGCTTATACTACATTTATTTTTAAATTTTAGAGCATTAAGGAGTTTTAATTTACAGTAGGCTTGACTTTTCCCTATGGCTCAAAAGAATATAGCAGCAATACAAATTCTCCTGTGGTCAGATCTATGTCTTTCTAATTTTTGTTTCCCCCACTTTGAGTATCTAAATGCCTGGCACATAGTAGATGCTTTGAAAATCTTTATGGGAAGAAAGGAAAAGAGGGAGAAGAGGAGGGAGGGAAGAGGTTATCTCCCTCTCTTCACGCTTGTTAATTAAATGTATTGGCTAAATATGTCTGATGACTTCTAGAAAGATAGGTATACTCATCCATCCTCCATTCCCTAGGTCTTTACTTGGGGAAACTTGGATATTAAAGCCAAAGCAAAATAGTTGCCTTCCAGCACTATATGGATTGTAACAGGAAAAAGGAAGGTAGGGTGATGAAGGTGTTGGTCTGTATAATGGGTTGGAAAGAAAAACTCTAAGAGAGGGAGGGATAGATTCAGAAGAAGATAACTAATATTTCCTTTATCCTTTCACTGAAAAGTGTTTCCATTCAGATATTTAAAAAATGATTTGCTAGTCCTTCCCCTGCCGCAATCTTTTAATGCATTAAGACTTTGCTTCTTTTATATGGAAAAATTGGAAGAATATGCCATGTTAACCATCTGTTTAGTAATTAAAACCTCTGTTACGTTACTAAGTTTACGTTAAAATGCTACCTATAAAAAAGAATACTTTCTTAAATGATTAATAGTAGTTCTTATCCTATATCAAAATCAAAATAGACCTGGTACTTGTTGTTATTTAAGATTGTATAAAAGAATAACATCATTTTGGGAGACAATAACATTTTATGTTGCATATTTAAAGAAAAATAGATCATTTGTAAAATTGCATAATATTAAAAGATTCTATTTTCATTTAAAGTAGATCTGATTTACTAATTGTATATTCTTTTTAACCAAGACCACATGAAGACTGAAAAGATATATTTATTGTTTGCAAGTATAATCTTTTGTTGTAAATTATGTCAATAGGTGGAAATAAAAAATATGATCACATTAAATAAGTTTTTGAAAACAAAAGTATAGGTAAGTTGGAAGAGTAACTCAATTTATAGTAAGTTTTAAAATATCTTTTAGTAATTTTTATAATATATAAGGTATTGTCATCTGCTTGGCCTGATATTAAATTAGTTGGCATTACCTAAGTAAACTCTTGCACAAGAATGGTAAGGCAGCTCAGAAATAAAGCTAGGTGGCAAAGGTTAACTAGCCTGGAAGTTTAAGTTTTATTAGGTGTAATTCACGAAGTAATCTACAGAAACATCAATGCATCAACAGCCTGCAAAATAATGAACATAATGAACATATTTATCATGAGGGACCTTGAATATGGTATATTTAATAAAATATAAGCCTAAACATTTTGTACTTAATTGCTATAAATAAAAGCATTGTATTTTAATTATAATTTTTAAAGTTTTACTCTGCTTTATTAAGCAGAAAACTTTCAACACATTTGACACTCTTCTGGGGGGAAGAAAAGGTTTAATTTGTTGGGTATGTACAAGAATCCATTGTGAAGATTTTGTGTTTTTATTCATATAATTATGTGGCATATCAATGAAAAGCACTTTATATTTCATTCCCAATTCCAAAGAACTCCCTGAGGAGTTAAGGACTATGGTATAACGTTTTTTTAATCCTCATGCAAAGTTGACATATCAAGAGGGTGTTTCATTGGATATGAAATTGGACACCTACTTTTATTGGGTACAGGGCTGCCATTGGGGTAAGATGCCTTTGTCTAGCTTGTTAGCATAGGAAACTGGTAGTGATTTTCCACTATTATTCATTCACATGATGAATAAAAACATAACAAGGTTGTTAGAATATTATTTTCATTTATCACTTACCAGCCCATCTTCTCCTGGTCTTGGGAAGGTTACAGCAAGATCATGACCATTCTCATCTAAAGCTTTGATTTCAATGCCTAAGTTGGATTCAGGCTGTTTGAGCCAATTTTGCAACACTGTCTTCACATCAATGCTCTGCCAAATACCAGCGCCTGGGTTCATGTCAAGTTTCAGAGATCGGATTCCAGTATACCTTGTACCGTCTTTCATGGGTTTGATGAGTCTCAGGATTTGCACAAACACTGTTGTAGGAGTCTTGACGGGTCTCAGATATATCCACAGTTGGGCCTTTACTACTTTATTGTATTGTATTTTAGAGCTAAATTTAAAGAAGCAACATTTGGGTTTTCCTTCCACTTGCATTAGAAGATCAGCTATAAATGAATAAGAAAAGAAAAAGAGTTATTGAAATTATTTATCATAAAAAATTAGTAAACCCTTCCATATTAGTTGGTGAACATTTTTTTTCCATTGGAATACTGAATATATATTTAGTCTTTTAAAGTGAAAAACTATGTAGAATTTCATTCATAACTCAGAAAAATATCAAAGAATATAATTACTCTAGCCTTTCAGAATTTTTGATATATGTTTTTTCAGCTGTTTATGAGGAATCTACTTCTTTTCCAGAAAACTGTGAACTAAGGAAAATTCTATGAAGGAATGAACTGTGGATGAAATTTTAAAATGATGATGATTAGAGAGAACAAGAGACACCGTGGAGGAACATCCACTTAGAATTCTTTGGGAATCTGAGTAGTTACACTTACTGAGCAGCTGTACCAATCAGTCTGGAAGAAGGAACCCTTCCCCCAGGCCTGAATTACCTGGGGACAAGACACACTGAGGAACTAACTGAGCCTCGGGAATTAAGAGAAAATATAGTACATCTGTTATGTTTTGGCTTTGGAATAGCCTTTTAAAGGAACAAAGCTAAGCAAGTAATTAGCACAAAAATTTGAATGTTATATTCAGGCTATCTCAAAAGTTAGAAAATACTGTCTTTAGAGCCAGGCTGTCATTGTGAGCAAAATCACTAGCAATTTCTTTTATTTTGGTTCCCCAAGATTGTTTATAAATAAGGTAAATCTACTCCAGGACTATTTGATAGCAGAGTCATAAAGGAAAATTATTTGGTGCATTATAACCTGATTACTTAATAAGGAGAACAATATTTTGAAACTGTTGTGTCCTGTTTAAAGTAGATAAAGCACTGGGTAAAGCAGGATCGCAGACACATGGCACAGAATCTTCCGTGTCATGCCTTCTCTGTGAAGGTGTCTGTCTCCCTTTCCTTGAGTGTAGTTATGAACTGACTGCAAAAAGAATATATGAAATATATTATCTTTCAGAAGCAATATAGATACTACAGGTAGTAGTCCTCCCTCCCAAGAAGAATAAAATTGTATTTTAGGAGATTATTAAGCAATGTGCCTGCCTGGAAATGTGCACCCCGGGTGCTCTCAACAATAGTACTATGGTCAAGGTGTAAGCAGGACTCTGAGCTATAACCTCTTTGATTAAAATGTTTATTTATTAGGCATTTTATGATAATTAGCTCATGATTATCATTATGCTATGTTTACTTCATCATTTTTCTTACTAATACATTAAATTTTAAAAAATATTTTTCCTAATCTCCAGGGGAATAACTTTCAAAATCTAATATGTTAATTTGTGAAGAACATAAAAACACTATGAGAAATAGTTTTGAGTAACAGAAGTCATTTTGGTGTTCAGCAAATGCTCAAATGACCTAAACGTCTACAAATTTCTTCCTTCTCTATTATTAGTGAAAAAAACTTGTTATTATAAATGCTTATTTTAGGCAACCAAACGCAATTATGAAATCTCATGTAAGTTTTTAACATTGCTTGTACTATCTCCCAATTTTTGCCTTGGTGGTATTAAGCTGTGAAAGCATAAGCATGTTATATTTGTCATATTAAACTAAATAATATTAATGCTGTGCAAGAATTTTATTTTGTTTAGCTTTTTAGCTCTCTAAGAAAACAAATAATGCAGCAGATTTCAGTCTCATTAGTAAATTTCTCATGAAATCTTGAAAAAAAGAAACTCTTTTCCTTCCTGCTTACATACAAGCCAACAGCTTGTTAAAAGAGCCTGAAAATAGATCTGTTTCTCATAAACACTAGAACAACAGTCAGCAGAATTGTTGATATACACTAACAGGACTACTTACACTCTGTAGGCATGGTAATGATTGTTTCCGTCGTCGCGTGGTAATCATCATCTTCCAAAGAGCCATCACTGCTGTCATCTCTCTGGACATCGTACTGATCAATCAGTTCCCGGAGTGGAGGAGCTTTGGGCAAAAGTTGTCTAATAGCATCTTTGCTGATGTTAGGAGCTGTTTCCAGGCGCAGTTTACTGAGGATTTGAATTTTTATGGCTTCTATTCTTGAAGATTTAGTGTTTTGTCTCCAAGTACATGCATTGCACAGCCCCTCTTTTTCCACATTTTCTTTTTGCTCGCTGTTCTCATTTAGATCCACTGGACCAGCAAGAATCAGCACAAACAGGTAAATATAAACATAGATTTGCAGTTTTTGCATGATTTTAAAATCAGTTCAATCTTTTTCCTTGCTCTTATTTCTTCCTTTTACTTTTCTTTTGCTTTTGAGCAATGCCAAGCAAAATTTTAATGCCTGTACAGTCTGAGAGACAACTTGCCACACCAGTGAATCTTTTATACTGTATTCCAAGTGGCTTTTTATATTCCAACTTTGATGAGACAAGTGTCGTCAGGATCTATGATTGGCTCCTGCTCCACAATGAATCTCGCTGTCAGAGGTTAAAACCCTGTCTGTCACAAGTCACCAAACAGTATTTTGTTACAGTCAAGGGTGAGCTGATTCATTTGACTACTTCATAAAAGAAATAAATCTATAAATAAGAAAGATAATGTGATATTTGAAAAATTAAAGTCTGTGTTAACAATAAAATAAACTACACTTAAATCTTATCTTTATATGTGAAACTCAAGTTATAATTTAAATAAGTAAATCTTAATTTACACTTCATACTTAAAAAAGTTGAAATGTTACTTCCTCAGAAATTAAGATTTTATATTATTTAGGCAAACATTTGAAATAGAAAGAATTGTATTTGTTGTATTAAATTATTTTTAGTGCTGTATAATTAGGGAAATATAAATTTAAATTAGGAAGACCTGTATTAAAAGAGAAGTTAAGATTGTGATACTAGTAAAAGGTTTTCAACTATAATTTGAGAAACTTGTTTTCCTGACTAAATTCTTAACACATGTTGAAAATTATACTTATTATAATGTTATATTGCATGTGGAACTATTTTTAAATAATTTGATGTCTTTTATTAATATGAAAATTGTGCTCAATTTTTGACTGATTACTATTATTTCCTCTTCTAAAGTTGCAGATTAATATCACTCAGAAGATGTGTTTCTTCATTGTTATTACCAGGGCATAATGTCAGCTAGTAGAAAAAATCTCTGAACTTAGAAGATAATGGATTTGTGAGTGACAAAGCAGGACTTATCACAGTTTGCCTCCGATTTCCAGCAGTTGAAGTAACAAGTGTACTGTCTCTTCTCCATAACTTATATCAGAATATCGTGAACACATAAAAGGGAAAGAGCACCGTAATAAAGGGGTGCCTGTTTGTTTTGTTTCTCAATACTGTGATGTTTGCACCCCTTTGCCAGTTTTTCCTTTTGACCAGAGGGCAGACACCTGGCAGGGATTTGGGGTGGGGTCTGGGAGCAGAGAATAGAGCTTTTTGTTCTCTAAATTTAAGTGGCCTCTGTAGGGATCAAACTCTCAACCTTCACTTTGGGAGCCACAAGATCTAATCAAATGAACTATTAAAGAGCTAAGCAAACATAGCCAGCAAGAAACAGAAGCTGTTTCCAGGCCACAGGAGATTTCTTATTCCTACTGCTTTTTGGGAAGCTAAGGACTCCTAAGAGAGTTAATCCATTACTTTTTTTTCCCCAGGAGAATGCAGTGGCTCATATCAAATATTTATTTTTTAGGTCACTACCACTTTTGCACATTGTACACTAATTTACTGCCTCAGTGCACTAAAATGCAACTCAGTAGCCTGAAAAGTTAATGCATTTTCATCAAATTCTTAAGAGGTATCTACATCTCTTGAGAAAAAATGGCCTTACATAATGCATTAGATTTGCCCATCATTAAAGATTAAGGAAAACCAGACACAAACCAGATGCCCTGAAAGATTTCAGATACTCTTTGTTGTGGAACAATATTGGATCAGGCTTATAAAGTTTTATATGTTTAGTAAATTTGTTTTTCAATGTATAAATCTTTGTCATGTTATAATAATTGTAACGTGTTCCTATACACTTCTTAGTAAGTCACATCTTTTTTTTTTTAACTTGATTAGAATTGCATAACACTTCAGAACTCAGATCCTGGAGTCAGATAGACCTGAGTTCAAAACTCAACCTTGCCACTTCTAACTAGGTAATAATAGATGAAGTACTTCACTTCTCTAACCTTCAGTTTCCTCATAGAGTTTTAGGGATGTGTAATTTAATAATGCATGTAAATTGCTGAATATAGTGCTTGTCATATAGTACGTGATTGATAACTGGTACTTGAGTGTGTTTCATGCAGAGGGATTTGAGATTATGCTTAAATTTATCCTCCACATGAACTAGAACTGCCTTAGGTAGCTGCCAATTATCAACTCACATAGACTACCTCTCTAGGCCTCTGAGGCAAGTAAAATTTTCTAAGGCAGTCCTATTACAAGGCATGTTTCAGCTCTTTATTCTTACTATCTGGAATAAAGCAAACAAAGGTTATCATTTCCACATGTAGTTGATGCTCATTATTCATGGATTCCATATTTGCAAATTCGCCCACTTGCTAAAATTTATTTTTTAACCCCAAAATCAATACTTCTGGGACTTTTGTGGTCATTCACGCACATGCACAAAATGGCGAAAATTTTGAATCTTCCAACACACGTTCCCAGCTTAGGTCAAACGAGACAGTGCTCTGCTTTCTTTCAGCTCTGATTTTGTAAACAAGTGCCCTTTTTGCAATCTAGTTAGTACCATGTTTTTCACATTTTTTTGGAGTGCTTTTTCTGGGTGATTCTGCTGTTTAAAATGCCCCCCAAGCATAGTGCTGAAGTACTGTGCTCCTAAGCACAAGAAGGCTGTGATTAAAAGTACAATAGTGGTTGCCAGGGGCTGGGAGGAGGGGTAGGGGGTGGGGAAAGCTGCTATTTAATAGATATAGAGTTTCAGTTTGGGAAGATCAAACTGTTCTGGAGGTGGATGTTGATGATGGGTGCACAAAATGTAAATGTACTTAATGCCACTGAACTGTAACACTTAAAAGTGGTTAAATGGTCAATTTTATGTTATGCATATTTTACCACAGTTTTTTTAAAAAGAAGGTTGTGATGTGCCTTAGGAAAAAAAATTTCTTATGGAAAAAACATGTATTAGATAAGCTCTGTTCAGGCTTGAGTTATAGTGCTGTTGGCCAAGAGATCAATATTAATGAATCCACAATATGTATTAAATAAGATCTCTTTAAACAGAAACACACATAAAACAAGATTATCTATTGATTGATGAACATGTTGTGACCAGAGGCTCAAAGGAACATAACCTTGTGTTTCCCCTAGGAGCAGCAGTTCAGGAACCACTCATTCAGTGTTGGCAGTGACTTTATAGAACATAACCACTGTGAATAATGAGAATCAACTGTATCTAATCAACTTCTCTAGACGTCACTATTAAATAAGAAGTGCTCAAGAAATTTCAAGAACATACATTCCTTCTCTAGTGAAGTGATTGCAACCGGTGAAGGACCCAGAGCAGGAAGGTTCACCCTCTTTTTAACACCTTTGCTGCGGTCTGACTGCTGAGGGCCTAGCTTTGGCTGCTTTCATGAAGGAGGCAGGACAGACAGTGTGTCAAGACGAGTGAGTAAAGAAGAATTCCTTCTAGTTGACTGGAGAGCTTGACTGGCCAGCTTGTTGGCTTTGTTGTAGGTTGGCCATCTTTAAAAGCAGTTCTCAGAGGAGTCAGATTTAGGTGGCCAATGCATCACCTCACAATATGTGTTTTCTTTCCCCTGTTCTCCTTTGTACTAGCTAGGCTTTACATTTCGGTAACCGTTAAGTAAGGCGACAACAAATTTCTCTTATCTCTACTACAAATACCAGGGGGTGTTTCAAAACAACTTTGAGAGTATAGAGCATATTTTCCAAAAAATGTTTATGGTTTCACTCTTTGCAGTCTGGGAAATCCTGAGTGCACTAACATAAAGGCTTGCCGGAAGTTTAATGATGTGGCCAAAGGAAGGAGGAGGAGACTAGGAATTACAAGAAGAATGGATCATGAAAAATTCAACTCTGTCGTGGGAAAAACCCAGAGAGTGATATTTTATCTTATCACTCTTGCCATTTCCTTGTAATGACAGTCCTTTGGTATCACTCTATTTTGATTATGCTTAAAGCCAGAAAAAAAACCGTATAATGCTCAACTCACTTAACAGCATGAGAAGCTAGTCTTCCCACATTGATGATATCTGATTATCCATGCTTTCAGCAGATTATAGAACAAAAATTAACAAAAGCAGAAGTTTTCTTGAGCTAGAGAGCAAAAGTAGGAATAGAAGACAGGAGACCTGGAATATACTTCTGGTTTTGCCCCTGACGTTTTATGCGACCTTGAATAAGTTATTTAGCGAGGCCTTCATTTACGAAGGTGTATGTATATATGTATTAATTCATTTAATGAATATTTTATGAAATATTCTAATGCCTATTATGTGCCTGGTGCTGTGCTACATTCTGAGGAGAAAACAATGAACCAGACAGAAGTCATCACTGTCTTCAAGAAACCTACAGTCTAGTTTCTTAATGTAAAATCTGAGGAAATTTAATTAAGTTTGCCCTTTCAGTTGAAGTTTATCCCCTAAAGCAGCAATTCTCAAATTTTTTGGTCTCAGGATTCCTTTATACTCTTAAAAATTATTTAGGATCCTCAAAAGCTTTTGTTTGAGTCATATCTATCAATATTTAACGTGTTACAAGTTAAAAATGAGAAATGTTAGAATATTGGCATACATAAGCATATAGTCTATTTGCTGACACAGTGATGATGTCACCTATCATGGAGTCTCTGGAAAACTCCACTGTACACCTAAGAAAGAATGGGAGTAGCAAAAAACAGCCTTGTTATGAAAATAGTGTTTACTTCATAGACTCTCTGAAAAGGTCTTCACTCCAGGGATCCCCAGACAACACTTTGAGAACCAGACCTCAAATAATAATTTCTACACTACTTGGATTGAGTATTTTTTCGCTCTGACTTGAAGTCCCCTCCTCCTAATACCTACAGCTTTGGCTTTTAATGAGAAATCAAATATGGTAATTTTTAAACATTGTATGTTTATTTACTGACACATAATTATTCCCAAGAGCAGAAATATAGATATTATTGTATTATAATCACCAACTACCAAATTGTAGGTTATCTAGAGGACATTTGCACAACATTTGTGAGTTCTAGGGTATAGACTGAAATCTATAGTCTTGAGGGGTTTCTTGTAGATGGTCTTCAGGTCAGTCTTGAGATGATAACATTCATATTACGGCAATGCCTCGTAATATAATGTCCCAGTTAATAAAATTTCTGCATTCTACTGTCCTTTAGAGGTAGCATTAGCTCAGGAATACTTCAAAATGCAATTTCTCTGCTCCTTCCTTTCCAAACTGGGAACTCTAGTTTATTTATTATAAATTTGAAATACAGAGTATAAAAATAAAGTTATAATTTGGCTTCCTCATTTTTCTGCTGAAAAAAGAGACTAGACTCAAAGATCTAGTGTTCGAACTGTATAGATTGTGCTGTCCTCTATTATCATAATTCTCAAATGTTTGCTTTTGTTTCCTTACTTATCCTCCCATTTCTACCCCTCCATCCCCTAAATAGACTATGAGCTCTTTAAAAGGAGGAAATTATTTTGTTCATTTTTGTCCCTTCAGCTCTTGGTCCAATACCTGATACATAATTAGGTTGGTAAAAGAGTGTTTACTGTATAATTGAATCAATAAATGAATGAATGTCTCTTTAAATACAAGAAACTTCAACTTTCTAATTTTTCAGTAGGTATAATTAGTATATTTATAGACTTTCTAAGTGACTATGGTTGTGTTTTTAGTTTGTTCTGACTAGGGGTCTAGCATTTCTGTTGGATCCTCTCTTACTCAGACTGGTAGGGGAGACTGGTGTTACAGGTCCCTATGTCTTTGCTGCCTCTAGTAGTTCTCTGGTAGAGTGCTCAGCACTTGGAACATTCCAGTGGAGCTTTTGCATTTAATGATCTATGACTACCCAGAGACGCTGTGTGGCTCTTAACAGGGACCTTGCTAGGAAGTGGCCTTGCTGGCTGTGACACCGCTGTTTAAGACCACCAGAGCCCTTACCCAGCCCAGGTCATACTTAAGTCAAACTGAGTATAACAAGCATCAAAGTTAGCCCAAGAGGAGAAAAGAAATCTCAAAAGAGCAGTGTGTGTGTGTGAGTGTGTGTGTGAGTGTGTGTGTGTCAGTGTGTGTTTAAACAAGGCAAAGGCAGAACAATCTTCTTTGCCTTGACCAGGTGGGAAGAACAGTGAACTGATTATATGTGTTACAGTCTTCTTTTCCTTCTTTCTCGGAAAGAACTAAGTTTCTCTGTGATCCTTCCCTCCCTGCTGTCTCCTTATCCAGCAGAAAGGAGCTTTCTCTCGAAACTGGGATGGAGTTTATCACCTCAGTTTAACCCAAGAAGGCATAGCTCTTTGAGTAGCCAACCAAGGTGGGCCAGAAGTCAACATGTTTCCCAGAATGCGCTCTCAAACTGAGTTCCTTAGCTCCCCAGAAGGGTCTGTGAGTTCCATAAGTCATTTCATAAAACTTAGTTCTTTATGTATATTCTGTTTCATCCATATACCCGCCTTACATCTGAGTACTAACTACTTCAATGTCCTCATTTTCTACAGTGTCTACAAATACAGTGTTTACAGTTGAGTTTTTTTACTGTAATCACGTTGGCTTCAAGTGCCCCAAAAGTGATAGGGGTTGACTTTTATTCATGGATTCTCAAAAAACTTGTTTTTCCTTTTAAAGGAATCTTTGCATTAGTCAAGCCTGAGAATCTGGCTCAAATAATTTCCTCATTCTATCAATAGCAAATAAGCATAGCTACTTAAGTCTTTTTCCCCAAAGGCAATGGCTGGTGTTTAGAAAAAGTCTGTGATTCAATAAGTGAACCCTTTTTACTGGACTCAAATTTACCTTTTGTTTATGTTGAGTGTACATGCAGTGAGATAGCATATAGGAATGTTTCAGATTGCCTGATATCAATTATACCGCTCTTTAGCTGGGCTCTCACATTTTCTACAGCCACACCCCTGCTTTTGGTCTAAACTTCCACACCATTGCCTACCTCCTTGGATTAAGAAGGCACAAACTTCTGCCTGCAGCTATACATTTTCTTTCCCAAATTTAATGAAGTCAAATTTTAAAAATTTATAAATGAGAAACTGAGTATAATAATAAGGTCATTTTCTTTATTTTTGATAACTGATTTCCTTCATGATGTTTTGGTTTACTTTAGAACAAGCACGTGGTTTCCAAGAGCAGATGACAATATAGATTGATTTGGAAAAACATATCTTTAGTTTCAAAATCTTTAACCTTCTTGTTAAGAGTTAAACTTTCCAGTAAACAACCGCTCACCAAGAGAAAATCTTGCCATTTTCAGGGTTTTGTTTTTGGAGGCCTTTGGAAACCGTAGACTCAATACAGAGTATGTTTCTTCAAATCAAAAAAATTTTTTCTAATTTTTTAGATTCAGATTTTTAAAATTTAAAGTCTTAAAATTCTTTTTAAAAAATTTAACTCTCTCTTTACTCAGTAGCTTGGAAGTAGTGAGAACCTTAAAAGAATTCAGTTCCTTGCAAAAGTATTCAGAAAATATTTTCTTATTTCCTTGGAATTGCCTAAAGCATTGTTTTTCATGATTCACAGAGGATTGGCTTTCAGAGGCATTCTGCTTCCAAATTCTTTTGTAAATTCCTAGAAAGGACCCTTTACAATGGATTCATTGGTTCATTTATTAGTTCATTAAACACTTACTGAGCAACTGGTTTATGATAGGTACTATGCCAGGAATTGGAGACAGGAAAAAAATGATGCTTTTTGCCTAAGGGGAAAAATTTGAATTATAGGAACATGAGAATTTTAAGATTGTTCTATCTAATCTGCTCAGGAACCGATGGGGAAACTGAGGCCCAGAGAGAAGTTACATGACTTAAATTAGAAAAACAGTTTATTTGATTTACAAAGGTGATTTGCATTGAAATACTTTTGAAGCACCAAGTACTTCTTTTATATTGAGTTAAGAATTTTTTTTAATGTTCTAAATTTAACAAATAAGGCCAGTGCTCAATTTCCTGGGTCAGTGCCACGGTGGTGCCCTTTGTTCTTGGATCCAATCCATGGTCTGGCTTGGCAACTGAAAGACCTAGTGACCTGCATTTGGCAATTAGTATAGGAGTTTTAGTGTCTGCTAACTAAACGTGCTTTGGATGCCTGTTTGCTCAGATATTGGGTGTCAGCCTTTGTTGTAGAACATCACTATTTCTGTTAAACTCATATTTTTATATTTGGAGTCATACATTTACATTCTTGAAACTTAAAATTAATGTCAGGAGTTTCTAGTTATTTTAACCATAAAGAGTTTTATCTGACTTTTAGTTTAAAATTGATTCAACCTTGAATTATAATAAAAACATTTTCATTTAATTAGATTTAACATGAACATTCTGGCCCCTGCTGGGGACTCTAAGAACTACATCACTTGTACTATCAATTTTTCTAAGGTCATAAGGACTTCAGTTTAAACCTTGAATTCAGTTTTATATATCTTCTTTTTTGTAACATACAGAAGTTTATTGAATAAAATATATAAGCAAGGCATTACTATTATTAAGACTCAAAACCTGTGTTAAATATTGGACGTTTTTGTATGACACAATGAATTTAAATCCACTCCACTGTAATATAATCAAATTATCTACCTTAAATCTAAATATAAAGAAATCCAATATTTTTCATCTCCACTCAAATTCAGAGGAGAAATCTGATGGGAGATCAGATGGAATTTAAATACTTGAGAAAATGTGGTAAAGAATCTACTTAGAATTTCATTTCATCAAATATTTATTTAACACCCACTGTTTGGTTGTGGGTAGGCATTGGGTATATGCCTAAAACATTGCCCTACTCCTCTGGTGCTGTTTTATAACTATTAAACAGCACTTCAGCAAGTGCAAAATTGTGGAATGGAGTATGGACTGCAGGACAAACCAACAGTTTCTTGGGTGTAGCTGGAATGATTTCTATACATGGGAGACTGAGGGGTGGGGAGTGGAGGACCAATGGGAGACTGGAAACAACATTATAAAACCTTCCCTCTCCAAAACCCATGAATAAATATATGCTTGTGCCCCGGCAGTCTCTACGAGCTCTCTGACTTTGGGCAAATCAGGTAATCTTCATTTGCTCACCTACAGAAGGAAACATTAGTCAAGTTGTGAGGACTAAATGAGGTAATAATATAAAGTACCAAGAGCAGTGCCTGGTGCCTCATAAGTGCTTAATAAACATTAAATATTAAAACCGTTGTCGACATCTACCTAATAATATTTATATCAATGATATGAATTCATATTAGAAATATTTGCAAAATTGAAAATGTGTAAATTGAACTTTTGCAAAGTGAAGGATGGGTATATATAATATATATACACAAGAGGAAGATCTAAAGCAAAATGACTACAAAACTAAAAGGAAAAATGGGGGAAAAATATGCCAGGCAAATGCTAACAAAATGAAAGCTGTAGTCATGATACTAGTTGCAGACAGGATTGAATTTAAGGCAGAAAGGGTAAAACAAGACAAAGAGGGAAATTTTATGATGGTAAAGGATCTACAGAAAGGATATACCTTTCATAAAACTTAAAGCACTGAATAATACAGTAATAAAAATACATAAAGAAAAACTGCAGAACTACAAGGAACAGTGATCAGAAACAAAGCAGCAGCAGCCTACTTTAATGCACTTCATGGACCAGGCAGTCCACAGTTAGCAAGGCTGTATTTGAACAACAAAGTCATTGAGGTTGATGAAACAGATTTGGTTGGTGGACTAGATAGAATAGTTGAGATAGATATTTTGTTAACTGAAAATCAATCTTATTTTTAAAAGCCCATGGAACATTTACCAAATCGACTGTATATTGGCCCACACACAAAAAAGTCCTTCAATAAATTCCAAAAATTAGAAATAATCCAGACCACATTCTCTGATAACAGTGTAATTAAACAGAAATGAACAACGAAAATAAAATCAACATCTCCACTACTTGGAAATATAATACAATATACAATATAGTATACAATACAATATATTTTAATATACAATACAATACAATATAAAACAACCTTTGGTACAAATTGAAAATAAAAATCATATTGCAGAATATGAGCGAAATAATAATTAAAACATTATGCACAAAATAATAATCCACTACTTGGAAATATAGAAATTATTTAAAACAACCTATGGTACAAATTGGAAGTAAAAAATGATGTTTCAGAATATGTAGGATACAACGACCTCTGTGTTCAGCAGATATCCATAGCTTCAAACATGTATTACTAAATAAGAAAGAATGAAAATTGCATTCTATTTAACTCCAAAAATTAGAAAATGAAATACAAAATAGACTACAAATTAAACATTAAAAAGCAGGAGAAAAATAAAAAGATAAAATCGGAAATTGAGTCAGAAACAGGAAAGCAGTAGGATTGATAATATAAATCTATGTATGACCTGTTTCCTTAAGGAAAAAAAACATAATATGCTAGCTAAGCTAATCAATATAAAGAAGGCACAAATATTCTAAATTAGAAAGAGAGGTGATTTACAGACACTGTGAGAGAATTAAAGAATTAAAAGAGCATGCTGCAAAAGTATTATGAAAATAAGTTTGAAGACCTGTGTGAAATTAAGATGATATAGATTTTCTAGAAAAAAATAACCAAGGAAGAAAATGAAATAATTACCAGAGAACTAATCTCTGAAAAGTGCCAGTTTATAGACGATTCTTCCAAATCTTTAAAGGACAGATAGTGTTTTTCAAAATAGTGTTTTGAGATGAGCATTTTTTACTGAAATAGTATGGAGTGCATACTCATAGTAAAAGACAAATATTATTATGTGAAACTTTTGTTTCAATGTGTATATTTATGCTAGGTCTCCTTTTAAAGCTGCATTTTTTACTGTGGGTCACAATCTAAATACCCTGAAAACCAGTGTTATAGAATTTTAATAAATTAAAGAATAAATGAATACAGAAAGCTTACAAGAATTTTTAAGCTACCGTAATACTGAGGCTAACACGTGGCGATGAAAGAAAGAAAAGAATATTGATCCAAAATTTTAGATTAAATATTAGCAAGTAGAATTCTGCAATACATTGAAAGAACAATATACTGTAACCAAGTCCAGTCATTCCAGCAATGCAAATATGGTTCAGTATCTGAAATCTGTTCACATCTTTTAACATATTAATAGTTAAAAGGAGCAGGAACATCATCATCATCTTAAGAGATTCTTGTAAAGCACTTGAGAAGAATTTAAGTAGAAGTCTTTTAGTTAGTGCCATTCTTTATTTAAAAACTTTCAGTAAAATATGAGTAGATGGGTATTTTCTTTAAGTGATAAACCATCATATGTTTAATGATGAAACACTATACATGTTCTCATTAAAACCATAAATATGTTAAGGATACACTCAATCTAAACTATTACTTGTTATTTTTATGGAATTATTAGCCAACGCAAGTAGACAAGATAGTGGAATGAGAGGCATAAATTTAGGACAAGAAAAGGCAAAATTGTCAATATTTTTGCAGGTGATATAATTTAACGCCTGTAAAAATCTAAAGAATCAACTGAAAAAAATATATGAAATAAATGTGGTAAGGTGGTGTGTTACAAAATTAATACACTCTGAAATCCTAGATTTTCTTGATGCAAAAAGTCATCAATTAGAAAATATAATGGACAAAATGATGCCATTCAAAATAACAGCCAAAACTAGACCAAACCAAATAAAAACACCCTAAGGGAAGTGAGCTAGAAGTATGCAGGCTGTGCATTATTAGTTCTTTACCCTGACTGGGGTTAAGCTCTTGATAAATATTCAATGCCTATGCTCCACACCAAACCAATTAGGCCTTTGGTGATGAGACCTAGACATCTGTATTTTTTGAAACCATCCAAGTGATTGTAATGTACAATCAGGGTGAAGAACCACTTGTTCCATATGAAGAAAATATCCAAACTCATAATAAATGGAAAGATACGTCCTATTCCTGAAGAGGAAGACTCAATGTTGTATAAATGTCATTCTCTTTAGTCTATAAATGCAATGTAATTTCCAATTAAAATAGCAATCGATTTTTAAACATAACATTTCAGAATAGCTAGGTAAATTTTGATAAGGAAGAGAAGTGACAGAGGGCTAGCATTGATGGATATGAAAACATTTTAAAAACTGGTAATTTAAAAAAGCATGGTATTGACAGAAAATAGAAAGATAGAGAAGTGAAACAGAAAAAAGAAGTGAAAAATAGACCCATACATGTAAGAAAACTTCATAAGAGATAAAAGTGTCATTTTAAGTAGGCCATTGAATAGATGGATTATGTATTGGTACTGGGACAGAGAAAGCCACATGGACTGCTGGCCACTAAGCTCTTTGAGGGTGGGTACAATTCCTTATTCATCAAAACTTTAAATCTCAAAAATGCAACCAGAAAAGTATGAGAAGAAAGTGTAACTAGTTTCTATATACCATGATGTAAATTTTGGAGAGGACATCATAGATTCTAAGCATTATATGTGGATGACTTTGTTTGAGGTTTTCTTTGCCACGCTGAAATTTAAAATTAACTAGGCATCTTTATCAATCTTTTCTACTGTAGCTTGATAAATGTGCCTGGACAAAAATTTAGATTTCAGCATGGCAAAGAAAACTTCAAACAAAAGTCATGCACAATACAAAATATTTTCTAATTTTTCTTGTGATTATTTCTTTGACCTATTGGTTATTTACAAATATATTGTTTATTTACCAAATATTTGGAGATTTTCTAGATACATTTTTGATACTGATTTCTAGTTTAATTCTTTTCTAATCAGAGAACATACTCTGTATGATTTCAATCCTTTTGCATTAATCAAAGCTGGTTTTATGGCCCAGCAGATGGTCTGTCTTGGTGAGTACTTCATGAGAACTTGAAAAGAATGTGTATCCCGTTTTTGTTGTGTGTGTGAGTCGATAAAAGTCAATTAGGTCAGATAGGGTTAAGTTTAAATATCCTAACTTATTTCTATCTACTTGTTCTATTAGTCACTAAGAGAGAAGTGTTGAGGCCTCCAGCTATAATGATGGTTTTGACTATTTCTCTCTTCAGTTCTGTCAGTTTTTACTTCATGTATTTTGAAGCTCTGTAATTGGATGCATACATCTCTACAATTGTTACGTTTTCGTGATGAATTAAAGTGACTCTTTTATCATTATGAAATGTCCCTCTTTACCTCTGGTAATATTCCCTGTCCTGAAATCTGCTTTATCTGATATTAATATAGCCACCCCAGCTTTCTTAGGATTAGTGTTTGCTTGGTGTATCTCTTTCTATCCATTTAACTTTCAACCTGTCTGTTTTTATTTTTAAAGTGGTTTCTTGTAGACCACATATAATTGAGTATTGCTTTTTTTGTCCAGCCTTGCAATTTCTGCCATCTAATTGGAATGTTTAGACTATTTACATTTAATGCAGTTATCAATATGACTTGGTATAAGTCTAGTATGTTGCTATTTGTTTTCTATTTGTCCCACTTGTTCTTTGTTCCATTTTTCTTCTTTTTCTAACTTCTTTCAGATTGAGTATTTTTTGATATTTCATTTCATCTCCACTATTGACTTATTCACTATACCTGACTGTTTTATTTATGCAGTGGTTGCTCTGGAGTTTATAATATGCATCTTTAACTTGTCACAGTCTACCTTCAAATAATATTTTACTGTTTCATGTATTATATAAGAACCTCATAACAATATACTTCCATCTCTCCTCTCCCATCCTTTGTGTGGTTGCTGTCATACATGTTACCTCTACTTATGTTATAAATTCCCTAATACATTGTTATTATTTTTGCCTTAAACAGTCAAATTTCTATAAAAAGTCTTTATATCTATGCATGTATTTTTCATTTCCAGTGCTCTTCATTGCCTTGTGTAAAGCAGGATTTTTCAATCTCAGCACTATTGCCACTTTGGGCTGGATAATTGTTTGCTGTGGGGGGCTGTCCTATGCACTGTAGGATGTTTAGCCGCGTCCCTACCTCTGCTTATTAGATGCCAGTAACAACTCTCCCCCAAGGTGTGCCAACCAAAGATGTCTCCAGACATTGTCGAATGTTCCCTGAAGGACAAAACTGTCACTAGTTGAGAACCACTGGGGTAGATTTGGGTTTCTGTATGAAATCATTTTCCTTCAGCCTAAAAAAAATTCTTGAACGTTTGTTTTACTTCAGCACTGTTGGTGACAAGTTCTCACAGCTTTTGTTTGTCTGAAAAAGGCATTATTTTACTTTTATTTTTGAGGGATATTTTCACTGGCTGCAGAATTCTCTATTACCAATATTTTCCTTTTACTGTTTTAAAGATGTTATTTTGTGTCCTCTAGATTGCATTGTTTCCGACAAGAAATCAATGTTAATTTTTATCATTGGTCTTGTATGTAGTATGTCTTTTTCTTTGACTACTTTTAGGATTTTCTCTTTATCATTGGTTCTCAGCAATTTTATTATGATGTGCCGTGATCTGGGTTTTTTGTGTGTTATCCCTGCATGGTATTCATTGCCTTTTCTGGATTTTGGGGTTTATAGATTTCATCAAATTTGGAGGGAAAAAATAGCTATTATTTATTCAAGTATTTTTTCTTCCTCATCTTTTTCTGGGACTGTAATTGCACATATGTTAATTAGACAACTTGATGTTGTCCCATAGGTCACAGAGGCTCTGTTCATATTATTTTCCCTCTCTTTTTCTCTCTGTGCTTCAGTTTTCATAGCTTCTGTGGTTATTTCTTCTGAGTCATTAATTTTTTTTCTGTACTCTCTGATCTATTAATCTCATCAAGTGGAATTTTCATTTCAGATATTGTATTTCATCCCTAGAAAATTTATTTGGTTCTTTTTTCTATGTTCCCTCTCTTTCCTTATTATCTTTATGTTTTCCTTTAAAACTTTGAGTGTATTTTAATGACTGTTTTAAAATCCTTGTCTGAAAATTCCATCACTATATCTATTTTTTCTTTTTTCTTTTGGTCTATTTCTATTGATTGTTCTTTTCTCCTGGTTATGAGTCACATTTTCTTGCTCATTTATATGCCTGGTAATTTTTTATTGGGTGAAGGGAATTGTAAATGTTATGTTCTGGAGTGTCTGAATTTCATTGCCTTCCTTTAAAAGTGTTAAACTTGGTTTAGACAAGCAGTGAAGTTACTTGTAGATCAACTTGATGTTTTGAGGCTGACTTTCAAGCTTTGCTAGGATGGATCTACAGTAGCCTTTACTCCAGGCCTAGTTTACTTCAATTACTAATATGTGACCTTTCTAAGGTCTTTTAATGCCCTGGATACTCAACAAGTCTTTCTACTCTGGCTGGTCAGAACTTGGAGCCCTTTGTGACCTTGAAGAAGTGTTCAACTTACAGTTCCCCAGCTGTTCTTTGCCTAGCCTTGCAGTTTCACTCTATTCCTCTGCAGCCTATTTCAGATTCAAGGAGACTGCAGACTTATGGAGTCTTTCTTTGCATAGCTTCCTCCTCTCTGGCACTCTGCCCCACAATATCCAGGGTCCTGAGCTTCCCCAACTTCTGATCTCTGTTTCCTCAACTTAGCGAGATTATTGTACTCTACTTGGCTTTCCTTTCTCTGCACTGTGATCCAAAATGTGCCTCCAGGGCAATTCTATGGATCACATCATCTGTTTCCCTTCTTTTAGGGATCCCAGTCTTATTCTGCCTGTGTCCAATTTCCGAAGCAGTTGCTTTGTATATTTTATCCTGTTTTCTAATTGTTTATAGCAGGGAGGCAAGTACAGTACCAGATAATCAAATGTGGCCTGAGGTAGAAGTCCCCTTAGAAGACAACGGAACAAGGAGGGGAAAATGAAACACTTATGGCAGGAAAAAGGCTAAATTTCTTCCTACCTTCAATCCAGAACCCCAAAGGAGAAAAAAAGTTAATAACTCAGTAGAAAAATGGCAAAAAGAAAAATTTCCAATAAACATATGAAAAGATGTTCAACCTCATAGATAAGTAACAATAAAATGAAAATATCAGTGAAATACCATTTCTCATTCAAGTGTTAGGGTTAGCACAGGAAAATAGTCCCCTCCTTCCCTCTTGGTGGGAGTGTAAATTTTCATTTTTATCCACTTTGTAGGGCAATTTCTCACTCTCTTTCAAAATTTTAAACATGCCATGCCCTTTGATCCAGCAATTCTATTTTCTAAGATTTTACCCTCAGATCAACTTGCACAAACTCTCAAAAGTATTTGTAGAATTTATAATGTTGAAAAGTTGGAAGTAATCTACATGTCCAACAATTAGAAATAAATTAAATAAATTACAGTATCTTTAGACAAATCTGTATGTGTGTACTGACATAGAAAGATAAATATAGTAAGTGGAGAAAGCAAATTTTAGAACAGAAAAGATTTTATAACTATGAAAAATGGAAAAGTTACATTCATTATATTTATACTTTCCCCATAGATATTTCATCTAATCCCATGACCTTTAATATTAAATATTTGCTGATATTTGCTCCAGACTCATACTCAACAGTCTACTTTACATTCCTTTTGGATTGTTAATAGGAATTTCCAATTTAACATAACTGAACTCTTGATTTGCTAGTCCTCTCCTCCCCGCCTACTCTTCTCCATTTAAGTAAATGACACTATCATTCAACCACTTTCTCATGTCAAACACCTGGGAGTCAAGGAACTTTTCCTGCTAAGCTCTCCACACTGTTCATTGGGAATAAAGGAGTCAGAAAGCTGGAAGGTTCATAGAATATTGCCTGGTTGGGGGATAGTAAAATAGCTACCACCTTTTTAGGTAGCAATAAATTGGTCACTGTATCAGGCACTTCATAAACATTATCTCACTTAATCCTCACAAAACTATAAGGCAAGTGTTGTTTCACCATTTGGTGATAGTTTAAGATTTCAGGTGATAATGCTTTACTGAAAAATGAGCTCCGTGTGTGTGTGTGTTCATGCATAAATTCTCTCATGCTTCTTTTCTGTATTGCAGCCTATAGGTCCTGCTAGAAGATGGTTACCAGGGAATATAGATATCCTGAGAACACCAGTGTAGTCCCAGTGTGGGTGCTAGTGGAAACATGTTAGGCACTTCCTGTGAGGTGTTGATTCTCACAGCTGGTGTGTGTTGGTAAGCCCTTATATCCCACTTCTTCACTGTTCAAATTCTGTGATGTAGAATTGATTCTTCCTCAGTTATGTAAAAATTGTCCTTCTTCCTCGGTTATATAAAAATATTAGCTGGCTTTATGTGTAGAAGGGTGTAGTTTTTTGAATAAATGTATTCAATTTGACTTATTATTTAGTCAGCAGAATTGCAGGAGTGTTTTGAAAATTAATTTCATCAGATGCTGGGCTAAGTACCAGTAACAAAAATATTAATAAAGACATGATGCCCCTGGTGACCTCACATTCCAGTGGGGGAGACAGACTTGTAAACAGATATGTTAAAGTAGAAGGTGGTAAGTGCTCTTCTGAAGATTGAGCAAAGAGCTGTCAGTGCAGAAACACAGGACTCTGCCTGAGGGAGTCAAGAAGGTTTAACAGAATAGGTGACATTTGAGCTAGATCTTGAAGGATGGGCAAGAGTTTGCCAGGTGAATGAGAAGATCTCTATATAAAGTGCCTGATACAGGGCTTGGTAAGACCCAATAAATGTTAACCTCTAGTCCCAGTTGGGGAATTGTTCCAGGCAGAGGACACAGGCCAATTCAATTCAAGGAACACTTATTGAGTACCTTCTGTATGCCAGGCACTGTTCCAGGTTCTTTAGTCCTGTGTGCCAGGCACATCCTCTGAAGACAGATAATTACACAAGGGTCTGGTGTGAGCCATGACCAGATCTGCTATTTATAGATTTTGCTCTCAAGATGGAACAGAGATGTTTGTTTTAACACTGCTGACACATTCCATCTTGATTGCAACCCCCTACTACAAGAGCATTGACCACACTGAAATGTAAGCAGTTAATGACTGTTCCAGACTCAATTTCGTGAAAGCAGTGTTGACAGTCTAGCCTGGCTTCCGTCTGTGTTCTGGGCCACTTTGGTCTGCATTTGGATCAGGTCCAGGAAACAGCTCTTCCTCATAGTGTGGATGGAAGAATCCAGGTGCCTGAATTTCTGTTCCAGCTCACTGACTCAGTAGGTTCCACTTGCCCTCTTTTCAATAAGCCCCTTTAGCAAACCCGAACACCAATCTTGACGCTTTATTTTATAGTAGAGTAGGAAATAGTGTAGAATAAATAGAATCTATAGTGTTATCTGAACTTATTGTACAACACAGAACCTATACATTTCCACATCTAAAATACAACATTTCTAAATGTAAGGAACATTCTAAGACTGTTTTCAATGGCAGTTTTACTAGCATAGCTAGGTTACAGATAATAGAAGGAATGTACCAAGTGTTTCACAAACATTTAATTCCCACAGCAATTCTGTAAGATCGGAATTATTGTAACTATTATACAAATTAAGAGAATAGCACAAGACATTTAATTTACCTAAGACTAAAAATGTTGGTGCTGGGATTTGAAAGCAGGTCTATACAATTGGACTCCAAGCCCACTTCCTTACCACTACTATAGCAGTGTCCAATTTTAATGCCACCATTTATTGTGTATCTACCGTATGCCAGACACAATGTGAGAAGCTCACATGCATTCTCTCCAATCCTCATGAATTTTCTTTAATACAACATTTAAAGCAATTAAGTAGCTTCCTGAAAGTCATAGCCAGCAAATTATAGATCTTAATTTCGAGCCTAGGTCTGAGACTCGGGAGCCTGCTTTCTTTCTGTTATACAGCACCAGTGGTTCTCGACCCTGGGCATACACTGGAAGCAAACAGGGGACTTAAAAAAAAAGCTCTGCCCCTAGAGAGTCTGATTTAATTGGTCTGGACAAGAGCCAAGGTGATTTAAAGCTTCCGGGTGATTTTAACGTGCTCCCTGGTTTGAGACCACAGCTCTCAAAAGTTAAAGTGAATAGGAAGCTTGAAATAAGGCTCGATTTCCTTTGTCATGATATACTGGTGGAAAATGCCACTTGTAGACTATTTTTAAAGTGATCGTACTGTCCTAGAAAGTACTGAAGAATGTAGAGGAGGGAACATGGGCTTTGGAGTAGGATAGACCTAACTCTGAACCTTAGCTTTGACACTTTCTTGCTGAGTGGCCTTCAGCAAGTTACTTAGCATTCGTAAAATATTGATTGTGAAAGAACTAAAAGGTGTCCTTGAAAAGAAGATTCTATCTTGGAACAAATGGAGTGAATGCTGCCTCTGGTGGCATCCTACTGGGGATCAGGGTACACCCAACGTGTTGAAAGGCCCTGGGAAAACTCTGGCTTCCCTCATCAACCGGACTGTAAAGACCATTAGCTGCCAAAAATTCCCCAAACCGCCACGGTCCCTTCTCATTACAGCTACTCAGGGCTGATTTTCCTTTATTGCGAGACCACATGGCATGACTGGGAGGTGACCAGGAGAGGAGGATACCTTTTAGCCTGGGTGCCAGAGTGGGATATGTATACTCAGGTGAAAGGAAAGGGGAAGGATGTTTTTAATGTCTTATATTAGACTTGAAAGGCATTTTAAAATAGAAACAATATCTGGATGATAATTAGTTTTCTATGTTATTTAATTAAAACCTACTCATAATCTTGCCAGAAATGTGCTATATTTATATACACATACGACTGTATTTCAGGAATCTTTTGGGTTCAATAGGCTTTGAGGAATTAGTGTGGAAGTGTAACCTATGTTTATAACATTGTTTCTATGAGAAATATGGGGTCACTATTTGGGACTCCAAGAAATATCTTCTTTCCTCTCTAACTCAGCTTTGCTACTATAGTACCCACTGGCCATCTGGTAAAGAGGGAATGAGGCAGCTCAGAGAATGCTATCTGCTCTCTGGAATTTAGCAGAACTCCTTTAGCTACTAATTATAGGATCACAACATTCTTGAAGTCAAGACCGTTTCTTGCCTTCATTTGTGTCCCTCTTCCTCCCAAGCAACCTATCTTACACTATGAGCATATAGTGGGCATTAACATACACATAGATTAGATTTGAAATCAGTAATGACCTCACTGTCAATGGAAAATAGGACACTGGGAGTCCATACCATGCAGTGACAAAACGTTCCTCAGATGTTCACTTGCTGTTTCCTGGAATCAGACGCCTTTCAATGCCAAGACTTTAGAAGACTGGCGCTTAGAGTAAGTAGCTGTAAAATATCACGGTGAAAATTATGAATATAAGGGCTGTGGGGATGGTTCTGATTGCTCTGGAAAGCTTGCAGAAATGACAAACTCAAGGATTTACATTTTTAATTCAAGGCACTGTCAGAGAATGAGTTTCTAAAAAATGTCTTATTTCTTGTACCAGTGGGGCTGGGGTACCCAAAAGACAAACCTAAGTTTGTGCCAGTTTATGCATTATAATGCAGACTTTCTAGGCATCACTCAGAAGTGTGGGATCCTGAGGATGGGAATACTTGGGTAGGCTCTAAGGAATCCGGCTACCTTGAGTGCCCAAATCCCACTGAGTCTTGGATGTCAGTAGAAGCAATCCTTCCTCCTCTGTCTGATAATCTTAGTCTCCCTTTGCCTGATAACCTGTTATAATGTTACCTGAGGTAGTTGATTTGTCGGAGGATGATGAATCTCCTCAAGATCAATCCCCAGTATTTCTCGCTGCTTACAGACCCAGGCCTATTCCATAATTAGATTCAAATCCTGGAAAACCTCAGGGAGGAATGGGAAAAGAGAAAATGGGAAAATATGTATAATGATTACAGTCCTCATTTCTCTACACTTTATGGTCTGTAGTTGGTATTTGCAACTCCTTTCTTCCACTACCTTTCCCCTATTCCCTTTGTCAGCTAACTTTATCTAATTGTGCTTATTTATCAGTCATGATGACCTAAGCTTTCATTCCTGAAAGATCTGAACCATTAGTGGTTCTTGCTTTGCTTGGGTTCTTCCAATCTTCCAATAGCTTTTACCATGGACGTAGGAGTACTAAGAGTTGCCCTGAGAGTCCCTGGACTTCCAGACGTAGTTCCCCCTCCCTTTGCTGTGTAGTATCAACACTTTTTCTAGTTTGTAATCAGGACCAAGTGCCCCAGCCAATACAGTAATCCCCTTTTCTGCTTGTTGGTTCAGTGGCATGAACAACCCAAAGTGGCTGATGTGGCAGTCTGGGATTCCATTCAGTGGAATGCTTCTGTTGTTTCCAAGAGGAAACTAAGAGCACAATATTGTGAGGATGGAAACAAAACCTGTGTGAGTAGGTTGTTAGGAATTATAGTGAAGGATCCACCACTACTTCTACATTTTGGTTCTCACATCTAAGTATTCTTGCTATGGAAGACATAGCATTATATATCGGTCGCTGGCTCAGACAATATAGAATAACTTGTGTGACAGCTCTCCAGTCCAATAATTGGCAACATAAGTGAGTTGTCACTAGGTCATTCCACATTTTATCAAGGCAGCTTCTTCCTATGGACATGAAACTATTTCTTCAACTCTAATTCTTTAAGTGGAATTCCTTATTCAAAAGCAATATTTTATGGGGTTTCAAGAGAGTGAACAAGGCCGTACCTAAGTCCATAGATAGTGGTGCTAGCAGAAATATTATAGGCAAAGAAGACAAATTCATATCCAGGTTAAGTATCTTTTCCTCCATGATGACAGTGGTACAGTGTAATCTCTCTACCATCAGGTGGCTGGCAGATTTTGGGATTGGTGCCATTTTAGGAGCTCAGTGTCGTTCTCTGATGTTGGTGAGATAGGCACTCATCAGTGACAGTAGCAAGATTAGCCTTGTGGAAAGAAGCATATGTTCTTAAGCCCACACTGTTGCCGGGACCATTATGTTCGTGAGCACCAGGATGGCTGGGGAAGACAGCTAACTGACATCCACAGGATTGGTCATATTGTTTACTTGATTATTGAGAATCTCTTCTTCAGTGGATGCCTTGTAGTAAGCATTTGCATGGGATACAAATATCCTCACTCTGCCCACTCTGAGAGGTTCGTTTAACTCTTTCTCAGACCTCCTTTTAACCAATCTGTTAATCCTGTTTATTCAAGCCCTTGACTCCTTGACCAAATAGCCACTTGCCCATGAATCAATGTAGATCTCTACTTCTATCTATCTCTGCCCTGCAAAGTGGACAGTCAGGTTTTAATCCATGCGCCATGAAGTGTTCCACCCTGAGGTCTTTCCACCTTCCTCAGGGGCAGCCTCAGAGTGGGCTCTGCAGTGTCCCCACTGGTCATGAAGCCAATTAACCTCTATAATCCTTCTAGTCTGAATGGGACAAACTTCTATCTTATTCTCTTTACTTAAAGTGCTCCTCTTCCTTCCTTCTCCAGGGCTCCTAACATAATCTTTTGTATAAGAAGTAAGAAGAATTTTTTTTAACCTCAGACAGCTTAAGGTTTCCACATGCAAAAAGTTCCAGAAGCAAAAAAACAGAAAATAACCTGGGTACCTGCTTGAATAGTTGAAGAGAGAAAAAATTGCAAAGAAAGTAGTAAAAATAATATCTCAAAAACTATCCTGTGCATAATTTTTTATATTTTTCATACCTCCTTCAAAAACTTTATCTTATTTGATCCTCACTGAAAGTCTGTGAAGTAAATATAGTCTATATTATTATAACCATTTGAAAGATGACAGAACTGAAATGTGGAAGAAGTAAAGTGGCTTTTCCAAAGCTTCCATAACTAGCTAAGGATGTAAGCAGGGACCAGGATTTTGCCTTCTAGTACAGTAACAGGAGAACAAATGCACAAACCCCATGGTCATGATATGTCTTGGGAACTCTGACTTATGGAGTGAAGAAAGAGGGATGTTGACTGAGGGAAGAAAGATGAAGAAGCAAAGGGCATTCAGGAATGGGTGACTCTAGTGTGCTGAGTAGAGGGTAAGAACCAGAGTCAGACTTTCCAGAAAATCCCAATATAAGAGCCATTGTGATTCTGTTATTTCCTTTTTCTTAGTACATTATCAAGAGTTTTTTAGAGGTGAAGAATGGGAAAGCACATAAAAAGCATATTGAAGCCCAAAAAAAAATTTCAGAAAGATCAAAATAGCAGAGATGGGGAACACGGGTAACCTGGTGAAGGACAGGGCAACTTAGCATTCCAAATGGAAGTTTGAGTCTGATATGAAGTTGTGTAAGCTCATAAAGGCCAAAGGGGAAAGAAAAAAGTGTCATATTAGTATCAATTAGAAAGTCCTTTTCTCAGCAAAACTGAGTCCTAGTTAACCAAATCCAGTGAATAGTTTATTTTTAAATTAGTGTAAGTTCCTGAGGTTTTGCTCAGCCTCCTCATTTTGTTTGTTATAGAAACTTTTATTTATTATGACAGGAAACTGCCTGTATAAACAGGCCCAAGAACTGGGCAGATGTCTTTATTTCCTGGTAATTCCAGTTCTGTGACCTAAAGCAAGTCATTTAACCTCTCCAAGGCAAAGGCCTGTTTCATCAATTATGAATTAAAGAGATAATGCTAAATGTTCTCTGAGCCTTCTTCCAACTTTCAAATGCAATTATTCTATGAAAATTGTTTTTATGCTTGCACAAGCCCTGATTTAGGTTCTTGAGTTAAAAAAATAGATAACCTCCAGTAGGGGTCACTATAGTCACATCAAGCCCTAAATCTGAGTCTAGTGTAGTTGACTGTGCACATCACATCCACTCTTTGTCTTGAGACTATATAGACCCTCTCAATGCCCAGATGACATCTGAACTGATCTTCAGATGTACTCAGAAAACTTGTTGCAAATGTTTTCTTGTCTTCTGTTTCTTTCTTTCTTTTTAAAGGTTGGCACCTGAGCTAACTGTTGCCAATCGTTTTTTTCCCCTCTGCTTTTTCTCCCCCAATCCCCCCAGTACATAGTTTGTATATTTTTAGTTGTGGGTTCTCCTAGTAGTGGCACCTCAGCGTGGCCTGATGAGTGGTGCCATGTCTGTGCCCAGGATCTGAACCGGTGAAACCCTGGGCCCCTGAAGGCAGAGCGTGTGAACTTAACCACTTGGCCACAGGGCCGGCCCCTACTTTTTCTTCATTTTTTAACTTATTTTTCCTGTCATTGGCGATCATTTACCTCCATTAACTCTGGAGTCCTTCAGGAGAATTTATGTTACTTAAGAAGCTATATTAGATTTTTCACCTCTGAGAATTGTAATAAATATAAAATAGTGTATATTTCTTTTAAATATATGAAGTTGTATTTAAACAAAACACAAAAAATTCAATCCTATCCTGAGGATTTTTTGTTTTGCTTTTTTTGTCTATGAACACCTAAAAAATATTAAGCTCCTTTAGAACCCATCTGTCCCTGAAAATTCTGGAATTCTATTAATTGCTTATACTCCCCCATAGTTATTTTGTTATGTACATAAAACCATAGAAGAAGTAGTTCATATATCCAAGAGTAGGGTAAGGATTTCAAAGACAGTTCTAATTTCAAATGTACTGTCCGTTGTCAAATTATAGCATATACTTTTGCTCTGAAAACATAGACTGTACACATAACATGGAGAGCTGAGGATCACAGTGTCTATGATGCTGAAAGGTAGGCATCCAGAAAGTCAGTGTTACTCCCAGAAAGTCATAAAACCCCCCAGAGAGTCCTAAGTTTTAGGATCAAGTCCTTAGTCTTAAATCCTAAATCTTAGGGCTCTTTAGAACTATGATTCAACTTAGGACTACTACAAAGGGGTTCAGTCTGCCCTAAAGCCTCTCCTTAAATTCCATATGCTTATACAAACCCTGACAATGGGCTCATTTTGCCAAGAACCCAAGAAAGTGAACTTCTTATACCATGAAGAGCAGTGACTCTGGGCCTTTGGCCTGTTGGGCATTGCACCCCTGTCATAACACTGCTTAGCCCGAAGTAGTTCATAACAGGTGTATGGTCGGCACGTTTAATCTCATTCTCCCTTTTTCTTCTCTATTCACACCTGCCTGCCCCTCTGAGAGAGATTGATATTGCCCCTTTTAATGGCAGCACTAGCTGCTGTTTCCATTTCCAATATTATTATTTTAAAGTCCTAGTCTAGGCAGATAATTGAGTTTCTTTCCAACTGTCAATAAGTGAGGAAAGCCTTCCATAGTCTCTTTCCACCAGGGAATGAATCAGGGATGACCTGGTGGCAAATATAGCTGAAGAGATGGCATGTGACTTCGGAGACAAGGTCATGAAAGGCATTACAACTCCCACCTTGGTCTCTTGGATTGCTCTTTGTGGGGCGATCCAGCGGCCATGCCTCAAGCAGTGCTGTGGAGAGGAACTGAGGCCTCCTGACAATAGCCAGCACTGACTTGCCAGCCACATTAGTGAGCCGCCTTGGAAGCAGAGTCTTCCCAAGTGTATTGAGTCCTCCTTTCCAGGCTTCTGCAGAGCAGCCTTCTTTTCCCTGTTTGTATACAGCCTCAGACAACCACCTTAGTTCTGACCTTACATAAGCACACTTATTCACCTGCCACAGCTAACTGATCCCCTAGCTCTTGGGATGAGTTCCAGCCTGGGTCACGTATGTGCCTCTTGTCCAGTCATCTGTGGCCGTAGTTGGAGGTATGTAGTATAGACAAGGCTGTGACACAAAGGTAGAAGGCAGTTCCCAGGGAAAGGTATATGAGCTGAACAGGTCCTGCAAATGGTTTCTACCAGTGTCCCATCCTGCTTCTCTAGCACTAGTACTTCTCTTAGCATAGTACTTAGCACACTATCATCTAATTGCCTGCTTATTTTTGTGTGTCCACTCTCTTCTGTAGGCTCCTCAATGGCAGGAATTCTGGCCTACTATAGATGTATCCCCAGCATCCAGTTCCTGGCACAGTACCTGGCGCATACTAGGGAGTAAAAAAAATGTGTAATAAATGAATAGTCTTGTTTTGACAGTATATACTTTATGAAAAGACCTTGTTATTTTTACTGTACAGTTGCTACCACATTAACAGAAGAACCATCCACACAATTTGAGAACTGAATTGTTTTTTTCTTTTTTGGTGAGGAAGATTGGCCCCAAGCTAAAATCTGTTGTCAATCTTCCTATTTTTGCTTGAGGAAGATTGCCACTGAGCTAACATCTTACCAGTCCTCCTCTATTTTATGTAGGATGCTGCCACAGCGTGGTCTGACCAGCAGTGCTCGGTCCATGCCTGGGATCCAAACCTGTGAATCCCAGGCCTCCGAAGTGGAGCACATAACTTAACCACTACCCCACTGGGCCGACCCCAATATAAAATAAGAATTTGAATCATTTTTCCAACTTATCCTTCAGAAAGATGTATGGACTTAGATGTCTAGCAAGAGTATTCAAAAATGCCTATTTCCCCCAAATCCTTGCCAACCCAGATTAATAGCCTTTTAAGAAATCATAGTCTGTCTGATCTGTAAAAATGTTCTCTCCTTGTTCTGGGGATAGTTTTGTACCCGATCAGAGGAGAGAACTGCCTATTAAAAGCAGAGTTACATTGTCTAATTCTAACTTCTGTGAAGAGAATTTCACATATATTGGGCTTATGCTACAAGCAGAATAAATGGAAAGTCCTAGAAATGCTCTGTTTTCAGTTTTTCACTTTTTGGACTATAATAATGTCTCTGTTCATAAAGATGATGCTCTTCTGGACCGTGCCTCTTCAGAAATTTCAAACCACAGGTAGAAAGTATACAGATAGTACAGATAATACATATGAGGGCAATAGATGAATGTTTACAGTAAAAAGAATCATTAAACACTAAACTACAATGATAAAACGTAGCAAGAATCAGAAAATAAATATTCTTGGATGCATTATAGCATAAGTAGGGAAAAACAGAGTTTTGTTTAAGATTATGGAAGTAAAGATTTGTACTTTGGCCCCAGAATTTTTTAAACTGTTGCCTGTAATAAGATAATGTTTTGTTCTCCTGTTTTCCTTTTTTCATCCATAATTTCACTTCGTATTGGGGGCATTTTTATTTATGTGATTTCTTCGTTTTCATTCAGTCTTTTGGAGATAAGTTTCCTGTACTTTCAAGGTCAAATTTGGCCCTGTGTGTAATTGTTAAAATGTTGTTAATAGATTCCAAACACAGCTGTCAATGTATTTTCACTTTGGGAATTCTCCGGCTTGGTAGCCTGACCGTGGGAACCTGCAGAGGAAGGTGGGAAAACCCTTGGAGGCAGTCAGAGAGGTAAGCAATCTCCTCCCCCACTCATCTCCAACTTGGGCCGGGAAGGAAGGGCCTGCCCCCTTTTTGTCCTCTGCTGTCTTTGTGACTAAGCGCTTGGTGCAGCTGCCGAAGCAGTAGCATCTAATTAAGGACTAGGGCCTTGCTTTCTCTAAGGCCCAATGCTCCTGTCAAGAGCTTCCGTCTTCCCCCAGCCATGAAGAGGGTGAACTCCTACATTGCTTTTCGTTTGACCTCCAACTCTGTAGAAAAAGATTTGGTGAGTGTGGATCTTGTGACTATAAAATGAGATGAGTGGGGTTAAGCAATTGGAAAGCATATATGCATCTGTAGGGATTTTCCAGGACATCGTTTGCAGAGATATATTTTTAAAGGTATTAACAAAGGGGATACATGTGCTGTTTGAAGAGTATAATAATAACAGGTAGCATTCCCCTAGTGCCTTTTTATGTGCCAGAAGTTTTACGTATTATTTTTAATCTTTCCCACAATCCTATGGGGCGGGTACTGTTATTGCAATTTTGTAGAGAAGACTTCTGAAAAGTTAAATCAATGGCTCAGAGTCACAGAGCTATGGAATGCCAGAACCATGATTTAAATCAAGGCCTGTCTAACTCTCCAATCCCCGACTCTTTCCATGCAACCTAAGTTTTGTTTAAGAGGGGTTCAGGGAGTGGAGCTCTAAGTTTGCAAGTGTTTGTTCCTATGTTTATGGCTATATGTGTATATTGCTTCACTTTTTATTTTGAACCATGTTTTCCAGCAATCAAAGGATTGATTACAGGATGTTTTCTTGCCAGCAAAGTCTACTGAGCTGAATCACAAACATTGCCTTGCCTTCTGTCACTATTCATAATTTATTCATGGATCAATGATTCCTTATTAGCATTATATCCGAGTTATGTATTTTGAATGGTCCTTTCAAGGCTTTTGGGAAGATGTTAAAGGAGAGGTAGGGAGAGATATTTTGTAGATGGTTTTAAGTAGGAAATAAATGATTACTTACTGTATCTGAATCTGAGTCATTCAGATTCTGCTGGTCCAAGAAAAATAGTATTCAAAGAAAGTGAGGGATAAGTTAAAAGAGTAAATGACCAGGATAATAATCCATGAGAGACACTAAATATAATTCCTGCAAATCACAGAAATTGAAAAGAATTTTTGGTGATATCAGAAACAAATATGATAGAAACTCAAAATTTCAAAGGAACAGGATAAATATACATATATACATTTTCTTATATCGTATCATATCATATCATATTCAAAGGTGTTTATTACAGGGATTTGACCTTACGTAATTGGGGGAGCTGGTTAAGCAGTCTCTGTAAGGCTATTGTCTTCACATCTGATACTGGAGCTTGATGTCTACAAGACAGACAGTTGGAAAGGAGAGATGGATGTAATGTGGGACAGAGCAAGAACCAGCTAGAACCCACAGCTTGAGATGGAGCCCACGGGATGTACTGAAAGCATCAGTTTTGCTGCCTCTCCCCTGGGTGGTGTGGGTGGCCTGCAGAAGCCAGGTCTTACTTGATGGAGCTAAACACCGACACCTGGCTCAGGAGTCAGACAAGCCGAAGGAGGATCTAGGCCAAGGTGAAGGCGTTTTCTCACACCAATAGGGAGAGTCAGTAGATAAGTGACAAAG